AAGAACGCACAGGATTTACAGTTGGGTCAATTGGTTTTTTCGAGTATAACCGTATGCCGTTCGGGTTGACAAATGCCCCTGCTACTTATCAGCGTTTAATGGAGGAATGTCTACAAGGTCTTAATACTAGGATATGTCTCATATACTTGGACGATTTAATAATATTTTCAGAAACATTTGAGGAACATCTCGAACGATTGGACATTATCATGAAGCGCTTGAAGGACTGTAATTTGAAGTTGGCTCCAGAGAAGTGTTTCTTCTTTAAACCCAAGGTAAATTTTTTAGGACATGTCGTCAGTGGAGCTGGTATAGAGACGGATCCAGAAAAGATTAATAAGGTACAAAAATGGCCAATTCCATCCAACTCCGATGAAATTACGATCATTTCTTGCCTTTGCTGGGTATTATAGGAGATTCATCCGTGACTTTTAGCAAGTTAATTAGACCTCTGTCAGAATTGCTGCCGCCTACATCCACCAAGAAGGGACATAAGCGATTGAAAGTGGAATGGAAGTGGACTGAAGTGGAACAGCAAGTCTTTGATAATCTCAAGAAGATACTGTCATCCCCACCAATATTGGCCTATCCTGATTTCAGCAAGCCTTTTGAAGTTCACACAGATGCATCGACCAAAGCGTTAGGAGCCATATTGTACCAGGAACAAGAAGGTGTTAAGGGTGATTGCTTATGCCAGCAGGGCTTGTACCAAGGCTGAACAGAACTACAGTGCTTTCAAACTTGAATACTTAGCATTGAAATGGGGCCATCACAGACAAGTTTAAAGATTACCTGAGTGGAAAAACATTTCACAGTTTTAACCGACAATAATCCTTTGACACATATATTAACCAGCGCAAAAATTAGATGCCACAGGTCAACGCGAATGGGCTTCCCAACTAGGACAATTTTCATTTGATATCAAGTATCGAGCAGGGATTAAGAAATGCAGACGCGGATGGCATGAGTCGATATCCACACGAGAAGTTATTGGAGGGAGCTGAAGAATGTATTCGAATAGACGACAAAACTGTGAAGGCTATATGCAGTTGTATTGTAATATCACCATTTATTGAGATGTTGCCTGTAGCTACGTTAAGCATATTGGAAACAATTGATGTTAATGATGAGAGTCAAGTATTGGCACAGAAGGAAATTTTTGAGATTCGAAGAAGTCAACGACAGGACCCATTGATAGAGAGATGGAGAAAAGCGGTAATTGATAGGACAGTACTAAATACTTATATGACAAAGGACGACTTGACCATGAAGAAGCAATTTCAGAAGCTTAAGATGAGAAGAGGAATTTTATTTAGGAATGTCAAGGATGAGGACAGAGAGGTGGAACAGTTGGTGTTACCACAATGTTTTAAAGAGGAGGTACTACGTGGTCTCCATAGTGAGGTTGGTCATCCGGGGCGAGAAAGAACTCTTCGTCTTGTGAGAGAACGTTTTTATTGGCCAGGAATGTCGACTGATATAGACCAGTATGTGACGAAATGTGATCGATGTTTGCGTAGGAAGTCATCTGTTCATAGTAGAGCACCTCTTGTTAACGTCAACACAACTTATCCATTAGAGCTAGTATGCTTCGATTATTTAACTTTGGAGCCTTCAAAAGGTGGAATAGGAAATATATTAGTTGTCACTGACCATTATACAAAGTTTGCTGTAGCCATCCCAACTAAAAATCAGACAGCCAGAACTACTGCTGAAGCCTTCTACAATAATTTTATTATACCATATGGAATTCCAACCCGCCTTCATTCGGACCAAGGGGCAAATTTTGAGAGTGAACTTATTCGAGAACTTTGTAACATCATGAACATCAAGAAGAGCCATACAACACCATATCACCCGCAAGGTAATTCGGGCCCAGAGCGATTTAACAGGACGCTTTTGGACATGCTTGGTACGTTGGAGCCACATCAAAAGAGAGATTGGAAGAAATACATAAATCCTCTAGTTTATGCTTACAATTGTATTCCACATGAAAGTCTAGGAATTTCACCTTACGAAATCATGTTTCTTAGAAGACCAAAACTTCCAGTTGATTTAACATTTGAAAAGGCTACTGAAAAGGAAATAAACAGCAAAGAGGCAAAGGATTACATTATTGAAATGAAGGATAGGATTAGAAGAACACAAAAGATAGTTAAAGAGCATTTGGACAGGTCAAAAATAAAACAGAAGAAGTATTATGACAAGAAGGCGAAAGCTGCAAAGATAACGGTTGGTGACTTGGTATTGGTAAAGAAGCTCGCATTTGATGGAAAGCATAAGATAGATGATAAGTTTGAAGAAGAGTTGTATCATGTGGAAGAACAACCAAGACCAGACATCCCTGTTTTCCGTGTAAGGTCCGAGAAAACACATACAGAGAAAATTCTGCACAGAAATCACTTGTTTCTGGTGGATAATAAGGAAGATGATGTAGACACTAATGAAGAGTTGGATGATGGAAGTATTAAGGATAATGTGTTGTCTGATGCTAATGCGATCGATGAAGTTGTGAAGAAAGATAACTGTGACGTCACAGGTGATGATTCTGAAAGTGAAGATGGACAGAGCTCTGTTTCTATAACAGACTAGTACGGGGACGCCTGTAATCCTGACACAAGTAAGAAAAATGTTGATGAAGATGTTGAGGACACAGTAGAAGACAATGTGGCAGAGGATGATTTTGTTGAAGTTGAGGACACGGTAGAAGAAAATATTGCAGGAGATGGTTCTGGTGATGATGGTGATATACACAGTCATGAAGAAGATGCAGATGGTCTTGGTGATACCTCTAAAATAGAAATACATACAACAGATGGTGCAAACATAGAAGATGCAACTGAGAAACAAAATAATGAGACTAATAATGAAGTTAAACCTGTACCAATGCCTCGAAGAACTGGGAGAGCTAGAAGACCACCGGACAGATATGGAGAATACCAGATGAATCAGATGGCGCAGTGTTCAGGAGACAATAAATTTCAGGTTTTAGATAAATTAATGAATTCTGGAATCCTTGACGACGTAGATAGTGTGACTGCATATAGGATTGTCAGAGCTTTCGTTAAGTGATATTGTCATTTAAAAATGTCAATATATGTATATGTCATTAATACTGTCAATTAATATATTTGTCATTTGATATATGTTTTTACTTTATTTTTTTATATAACAATGTATAAGTAATTATTCTTTTGTATTTTGCTTCTATAATGCTAATTGCGAGGCCGCAATTAAGAACTGTGGGGGCGGAAAGTGGTAAGTTATTTTTTTGTTGATTTTGAATTGATATTAAGTCAACTGAGTAAGGTGTGTTACAACTTAATGGATAGTGGTTATGTAAAATTTGGGTGAGTATGATTCATATATCTAGTATATAGTATATAAGGTTAAGGTAGTGTATTTTGAGTAGGAGCGTCGTGTAGTTGTTCTTTGACATGACATATTTATGACGTGTGACTTAAAGACTGTGACTTAATGACGAGACGTCATTTTTGTAAGGTGGGGGAGTGTGTGACCAGACCGTCTTGACTGTGATTTCAATGTATTTTGTAAGAGTTTTAGTCATTGCCATGCACTTTGAACTTTATTGTTGGCATACTCTGTTTTGATTGGTTGTTAGTAATTTCTTTGTATCACGTGCTGATTCGCGGGGTTTTCAGTGCCGCCTACGTTTTTCTGTGTAACCTGTAGTTGAGATTGTGTCTTGGTAAACTTTTGAAAGTTTGTCTTCTTGTTATAAGGAAATATATCTTGGTATGTATATTTAGTATTTGTTGTATTACATGAGCTTCTGTTGAAATGAGTATTACATTCGTTTCTTTGTTTTCGGCGATATTTTAGACGTATATGTAATATTGCACATTTGGTGTACATGAAATTGAAATGGCATAATCTGGTAAATTAACTATTACTACTGTCACATATATTTCTTTTGTGCACAATACTTATTTTTAACTTACAGACTAAGCAGCACACACTGGAGAGAGAGAGTTTTATGCAGATGCAGTGTAATGTGATTGGTACCATATACTGGTGAGTGTACATGTTGTGGTTATGTTTTGTACTATGTTTATGTTGAATACAGGTTTGACATGTGATTTATATGTATTAGGATTTGTGACATTTATGAAAGGTTAAGTATTAATGTATTTTGGCCACTAGCATTTGAGGAATTAATTGTATTACTCATACTATGATGATCTTGTTAAAATGTTGCTCATGTAATATGTATTTGTAATTCATTATTTTAATTATATAGTAATTGGTTGATGAAATGTATTTTCAGGTCACTTGTTGTTGTAACTGCAAGTAGCTGTCAACCATCATTTGTAATTGCTTGTGACAGATATGTAAATAAAGAAGAGAACTTAGAAGTGAACCCAACATCTTGGTTTTTATTTAATATATAATGCTTTATGTAAAAGCCCAAGAGTAACATAAACATCATTCAGACCTTGTTACCAAGAAAGATACAAAAATAAATTTGCCCTTATTGAAAAACTACAGAAAGAAACAGAATATACTTTTACCCGAACAAACATGCAGGTTGGTGTATAGGTACAAACCTTACGGCATCCGAACTGTCAATTTACAACTTTAATTACTGATTTTAATAGAGTTGGTTAGAAATCACTTTAAACTATTCAGATTCTTTACCTTTTGTACTCAACTTTAGAATGTATACATGAAACTTGATTTATAAACATATACTATCTGATGATCTTAAATTTAGACTTTTTTTTGCGTTTTCTCAATATGTTTCTAAGCAAGAAAACATGCAATTGAAAAAAATAAAAACAAAACAATTTAGGGTTTATTTACATAAGCTATTGACATTTATCTTTTTTTATAAATATCAATGAAAATTCTTTTTTCAATTTAACTTCTTTGGATATTAGGTTAAACTTTAAACAAGCAAAAATATCTTTTTTTCCTCAGCTTTTTAAAATATGCCCAAAGAAGATTTTTTTTGTTTTTATTTTCAGTTCTCAGCTTACCTTCTCTGTGTAGTTCTGCTAGGAGGATACCACTGTGTGTTGACCAGTTCATTCATTCTTTGCTCCTTCAGATTGACAAGATCATCTCTAAGACTCTCTGTCAAGGTCATTGACCTGCCTGTCTGTAGTAAATCATAGTCTTCTCCTGACTGAAATAAAATAAAATTTGTCAATGATTTTAGGTATACTAGAAAATTCCAGAAAATTTTAACCATACAATGCCAACTTGACTATATTGACTAGTACCATTACTTTAACATTATGTAAGTCATGTCTGGCCGTTTTAGAGAGGAACTAGAAATGTGTCCATAGGACACGGATGCCCCTCTAGGTCAAATATTTTTTGGACTACATGTGCCACAAGTTGAAAACTAAAAATCAACAAGTGCTATAATTCTGTTAAATTCCTTCCTTTACTTCCATCTACACATTAAGGTTGTTCATCCCTGGAAGTTTAGGCAAAATCTGCCATCCTGTTTAAGAGAAGTTGCGTTCACAAAATTTCTACATAGTATATAGTGAAAAAATCAACAAAGGGCCATAATTCTGTTAAATTTGGTCGCAGCGAAAATTTCTTCCTTTACTATCATCTACACATTAAGGTTGTTCATTCCTGGAAGTTTAAGCAAAATCTGCCATCCGGTTTAAGAGGAGTTGCGTTCACAATATTTCGGGACGGATGGACAGACGGACAAGTGCAACGCTATATGCTCCCACTTTGTGAGGGCATAAAAAAACTTGTTTCTGAGGCATAATGTGCCTCTAAATTCTAGAAAATGTTAACCATAAAACTTGATAATGCTTTAAACATTGATGTTAACAGCATTCACTTTATGAAGTTTCCGTAAGCAAAAGCTATTCTAGTAGACGGTAAACAGTCTAAGATGTACAATTTATTAACATCTTAGTGATAAAAGTGTTTCACAATTAAAACTTAATGAGTAAACCATCCAATTTGTAAATCAAAACATCTTATAGCTTCTATAGTTTTCAGTCCCTTACAATGATACTTAAACTTACAGTTAGGGCTCTATGTCTTTCTCTCCTTCTCTGTGTTGTCAGACCAAGTTCCATTTCTGGTGTAGTCGTTACATTGGATTTCTTCTTTAGTATACCCCAACGATTGTGGAATAATAAAGCTGATTTGGGCATACTCGGTTCATTAGGATTAAAATCATGTAAGAATGCAAACATATTCTTGTCTAAATCTTTGGGATGATAATCTGGTCCACTCCATGGTGGTCGTGACGTCAACATTTTATCTGTGGTTAAAGTTACAAAAGCAGTGATAATCTTAATTGTAAATGATAATTTAATTGCAAATTTTCTTTTTTTGTCAGCTTGAAATACAGAAATTCTCATACAATACAGAAATTCTGATATTCTAATACAATACAGAAATTTAATATAGAAGCAAACAATTCAAATCACATGTAAGTCACTTTCATCTGAAATTATCATAATCCATTGTAAAAATCCTAGGTACAAAGCTTTCATGCCCATAAGATAATATAGAATATTGTCCTGTCCCCTATTTCAAATATGTAAACAAGAGCCCAGTTTGAACCGGGTGATGCTCCCCAAATAGGTTTTTGACACAGGAAAGTACACCTCTTGTAGTTTCAGAGTTATGTCCCTGAACAAAGTTCAAAATGTGATAGTTCCAGAATTAGGCAAGGCAGAGTTACTGTTCTTTGCACTGGACTTCAAATAAATAAGATCTATCTAACTAAAAAGATTCTTGTTGATATCTCTTATGGTATCCGAGTTATGTCCCGGACAAAGTTTAAAATGTAAAAATGAACAAAGGGCAATAACTCCAAAATAAGCCAAGGCAGAGTTATGTTTCTTGTGCACTGCACATCTACCCATTAAGATCTATCTACCTAAAAAGTTTCATGTTGATATCTCTTATAGTTTTAGAGTTATGTCCTGGACAAGATTTTTCTAAAAGGTTAGATAAATCAAAAACGGGGCTTAATAGAGTTATGGTTTTTGCACTGCACTTCTACCCAATGAGATCCATCTACCTACAAAATTTCATGCTGATATCTCTTATAATCTTAGAGTTATGTTCCGGACAAAGTTCAAAGTGTAAAAATAAACAAAGGGCAGTAACTCCAAAATTGGGCAATGCAGAGTTAGGGGTCTTACGCACTGCACATCTACTCATTGAGATCTATCAAACTACAAAGTTTCATGTTGATATCTCTAATACTTTTAGAGTTATATCCCGGACAAGATTTTTCTAAAACGGGAGATAATTCAAAAAATGGGGCAAAACAGAGTTATAACAGAGTTATGATTCTTTTGCACTGCACTTCTACCCAATGACATCTATCTACCTACAAAGTTTCATGTTGATATCTCTTATAATTTTAGAGTTATGTTCTGCACAAAGTTCAAAGTGTAAAAATGAACAAAGGGCAATTTCTCCAAAAATGTCCCGAACAAGATTTTTCTAAAAGGGGAGATAATTCAAAAATGGTGCAAAATAAAGTTACAGTTCTTTGACACTGCACTCCGCCTCAATGCCCTCTACCACTGTGTGAAGTTTAAACAAATTATCTCCAAGGGTTTTCAAGTTATGCTCCAGACAAGACAACGGACGGACAGACAGACAGACAGACAGACAGGGCGGCAACTATAAACTCTTCGTCTGGGAGCATAAAAACACTAAAATCTTCTAAAAATATTTTAAAGTGCCATGTGTGTACAAATCTTATTCGTATTCTGCTAAACATAAATTATACAGAGTTTTGTCCTTTAAAGGCGTAATTATGTCATTTTCAGTTATTTCTCCATTATGATACTTACTGCTTTCAACAAGACTTAAGTCCTTCTTTGTTGATTTCTTTGGCATCAATGCCCTTCCATCACTTCTCATACCATACATAGAGTTCTGTCATAGACATATATATATGTTCATTATACTATTATTTTTGTTATAGGCATTGTATTTACTTTCAATGCAATAATCTTTTGTATATTTAATTTAGTTGATTCTTCAGTTCTTAATTTTGTGAATATTGCTTATTAAATATGATCATATAAAATCAATTTTAAAGTTTTGACATAATTATTTTTACATAAAATACAATCCTTACAAATTCTTTTACACAATGTCAACTTGCTAATATAAGTTTGCATTACAAAGCGGACAAAGAAAATAAAGAAGCTATATTAATGAATTATTATATCAAGCTCTTACATTTACAACAAACAAGGGCAGCTCAACAATACTTTCTAAAAGTGGATTGTACTGATAACAGGTTTATATAATATCTGTGCATGTTTACTTGGTAGCATTTTAATTGACACTGACACATGTTGACTTTCCTTCTCAACTGTTGCGGAAACTCTTAAGCAAACCTCAAGGTGTAGTTTCTGGTCTAAGCAAGTAAGCTCACACTTTTTTCACATAAAGAATTCAAAATCCCCAGTGTGATTCATGAATTTATTAGTCAGCTACATTATGAAATTATCATTTCGGCTAAATGTGCGAATAAAATAAATAAAGGTATATCACTAACTTACATTGGCATTGACATAGTCCATAGTTTTCACACATGCTATATAATGTCTCTTCCAACAACCATAGTCATATTCTGATGGTGAATAAGGTAGGAACCAGCCATACTTCATACACTTTGGCATCCACAATACATCCTAAAATGGTCACATGATACATGTAAGTAAGTAAGTAAGTAACAAGGCTTACAAATTCGGTTTCCTGATCTTCCATGTGGGCCAGAGCTGATGTACACAACATAATTACAATAGAATAAACAGTTAACATGTACACAACATATACACAACATATATTTACAATATCATATTGAAATAGATTTATTAAATTGAAATAATGTATTTAAACGATCAATAATAGTAACACATGGAAATAAGTACAACATTCATGCAACCTTATAACCACCTTTACATAACTTGACACACATTTTTGACAAAGGGGCACTATTTGTAAATGAAAATACCCATTCATAAGATAATTGCTTTGTAAAAGTGTTATTTATTACCTGATCAGAAAGAAACTTCCAATGCCATGACACTTGACTACAGCGACTAAGACTTTTTGGTTCAAGAAATGACATCACATAGAGGGCAAGAAATCTGGGCAGTACAGTAGTGAAATCTAGATGCTGTAGGGGCACACATTCCTCAAACCAGTCCTGTATAAACTTATACTGTCTACGTGAACACTGACGGAACACAAGGTCAAAGAATCGCTTTCTCTGAGAGTCTGTCCATAAATCAAACTGGAGATATAAAATGTACACAAATAAAACAATAGCAAACAATATCAGTATTACACAAGAACAAATCATTACCCCCTCCCCCCATATTGGAGACAGTAATAAAATATAGCATTCAAATCCATATTCTTCTGATATAGAATAATATTTTCAACAACAAAAAATACTCTAAACCAACCCTTCATGGCATGGGTAATGGGAGGAAAAACATATCTTTACGACTGGCTTAAATCATTAGAATCAATTCCCTGAAGCAGTTGTCTGAGAGGTCAAATTTATAGTAATTGAACAATATGTTCTCTCATACCTAACAATAAAATTATTTCAAAGAAGTAAAAAGAACATACCCAGTTGGAGACAAGATCCCTCCTTTCTAAAAATATCTGAAAAAGTAGAAAAGATACAGAAATACAGCATTTGTCAATATGAGGCCTTTTTCCAACCCTTTTCATTAATTGATTAGATTATTTTTATGTGAAAGTCTGTTGATATGTTACTTATCCTTTTGCTTGAGAATGTCCTTTCAATGTGTTTTCAAAATATCTTCAATGCCTGTCAATTAGACATAAAGACTTTTAACGATAAAACTGTATTGCATTATTACATTACAGTTATAATATAAGATATGAACTTCAAGTCAATTATACAAACAATATATAAGGAGGATTAATAATTTTATCCTATAAAAAGAAAACAGCTTCTATCAACTGTACCTGTTCATTTGATGCCTTATTCACTATAGGAGTCCAGGCACTATTGTGTGTTTTCATTTTGTTGGTATGAAACTTCTCAGAGTCCCGAACTTTCTCCGTCCGCATGTCAGTGATCCTTCCCAACACCTTAGAATTATCTCCAGTAATGGCAAGCTTTGAATGTTTCATTTTGTGCCTGTTTTTAAACAGTGTATCTAACCTTGACATTTCAGCCATTTTGATGTTTTGTGTAAATCTATCAAACTTTATATCTATAAATAGTTGTTACTTTTTTTCCTATGTATAAGTCCTGAAACTTCTAATATACCTGAAATGAAAACAAAAAAAATCATCAACACAAATATTGTTTTTCCTCTGAAAAGCAAAAGTTTGGTTACAGTTTAAAAAGTCTTAAAGATTCTTTTTGTCACATTACTCAAAATCTTTTATCTGTAATAAGTATTTTTGTCCATTTTACCTGATTTTAGTTGATAATTCATAAGCTTCCCAGCACCTTAAAAATCAAGCTTCTTATATACACAATTAAACTTACGGCTAAGTACTTATTTCCAGAAGTAAAATAGTATCCACATACATATACTTATAGTAGTATATTTTCATGCCTGTTATAAAATCAAATAAATCAATACAGTAAGGTAGATACTGCTGTTTCTTATCATAATCAAAGTCATTAATATGTATGATTCAATTATTGCAACAATCTCTGTAGAGTCATGTTGCTAAGATATGCTGTATACAATCATTAATAATTAAAGCTAATAATGCAGCATCAGCATTTCTGATACCAGAGGAAAAAAATTGCTAAAATCTTTGACAGCCTCAGAAACTTAAGCAAATATTAATCAATACAGTGATTAAACATATATCAAAGAAAAAATATTACTTGTGCACCCCCGCTCCCATTTTATTAATTTATCCTAAATACATCAAATAAATAGTATAATACATGTAATTTTAAGCATTATTGAACAGCTTTCAAGTTTTATTAAGATTAAAATTGAATCACCATTAATAACATTTTATTTATGTGTCTTTTATATAATAAATGTCTTCCAATAATAATGTGCAATTTGCCTCAAGCCTACCTTTATAGTATTGCTTCACTGAAGTATCATTTTATAGAAATGTTAACATGATACCCCAACCTGTAATATTACATTTAGTGACCAAATTCAATCCTACAACCATTCACTCAAAGCCAAAGAAGAAAACAACTAGTGTCATTTATAAATGTATGGCTCTGCCAAGTATTGAATGCCCACTCTCTAAGATAAAAAGTTTGCCCCAATAAGTAAACTGTTCTATGCCATAACACATACACATACATACATAGAGTTTTGGTTTTGATCCTTAATCTAAAACATCACAGTAAGGGTTGTAGCAAAATATATTTTATTACTATCCTATTATTATTATTATATCTCCCAGCAATATCTAATCCCTTGCAGATATGTATCCTTGTTTCTGTGTCAAAATTGCAAGCAAGTTAAAGAACATGTTTTAAATGCTAGATATGGCTGCAGTCTGAGCTGCTCTAGGGTAGGGAAAGGAAAAACTGTGGGTGGTAAGTTAGGCTCTCATGTTTAAAACTTTTTGTAAACGTTTACATGATTGTTAAGAACCGAAACGATACCGTTTAAATAGTGGTACTTCTATGTACTATACTACACCATGTATTCGAGTTGCCAAATGATGACTTATATTCTAATTTTAATACACATACAAATAAATAATGTTAAGGACTCATTACAATTGAGTCGGCACACATTTTGAAGATCAAAGGAAAATCAACTTTACAAAAAATGTATTATGTCACAAGTGATTATTGCTCGATAATGCCGTGTGTGTGGGTGATGTAAACACCCATTTTCATTTTTTTACTTTGGAATAAATCAATTAGAATTAATAGAATTCATGATTACAGGCAATGATTAAGATTTTGTAAGACAATATGGTCATTTCGATTAAACAGTAAAAAATATCGTAAACGTTTACGAATGAAAATCGAAACGAATCCGTTTAAACGTGTAACCGTGGAGGCCTTACTGGTAAGTATTTCTAATAGAATACATTTATATATAGGGAAATAGTTTGAAGTTGCTGTAAATAACCTATCACTCAGGGGATGGCTATGGTATGTCTTTAGGGATGCGTTTAGAGTACCCTTTGATTGGGATAGCAACCAAACCATAGTAAAACTTATAGATGAGGGGTAGCCTATACAACTGAATTCTGGTCAACAACGGTTGAAGAGGCAAGCATGAAAGCTTGATCAAATGGGATTCTTTTCTTTGGACACTTTGGGGGAAAATTGAAGATACCAAGACATGGTTTAAGAGCTTCTGAGCCAATGTAAGGACAATAGATTATGTGCAGTATGTAGTCCAATAAATGTAGTCCAATATAGGGCTTGTAAGTAAAAAAAAAAGGCCTAAAATAAAATTTAATTTGTTTCCCCTTCCCTACCTACCCAACAAATTTGCCCCTACCCAAAAGATTTTTTTCTTCTTAGGGGATCCATGAAAGTATTTTTTTCTTTCAGAGTACAATAGGTATAATCTTATCTGATATTTTAGACAGCTAGCATAGTTAATAAATTGTTGCATATGTCAGTTGTGAATATGGTAATGCATGTACATATACTATTGTACTTAATAAATTAATTTTAATAGTTCATTATACATATATGCAGATAATTTATTATTATGCACTATAAAAACTAGAAATGTGTCATCATGCCATGGATGCCCCCGCATGCAGCCAAAATTTCAGATGTTATAATATTTAGTTCCAAATTTTTTTTTTTCATTTTAAGTTCAAAGCCCTTAAAACTTTTCAATGTTAACACAAACAGTTGAACCATTTTCATACAATCAAGGCACTGAAATTATTCAGTCTTAACCTTTTGAAAATAGCATATTGCATATTTGTAGCCAAAATAATGGCTACATACATTTCCACAAAAGTATGAGTGCTGAAACTGAAAGTTCAAAATTTTTCCAACATTCAGGAAAGATAAGTTTGTCCAAAATCATTGAACCACGACCAAATTCAAACTTAACCTGCTTATTCCTAAGATGTATCTATATTAATTTCAAAGTGAAAGGGACATAACTCTGCCAAAAAATCATTGATCCATGACCAAATTCCAACTTGACCTGCCCATTCCTTTGACATATCTGTATGTCAAATTTGAGTTGAATATGTAACACTGTTGGGTAGATAATAAACAGAAACTGAAAATTTCATACTATTTTCAAAGTGAAAGGGGCATTACTCTGCCAAAAATCTTTGAACCATGACCAAATTTGAACTAAACCTGCGCATTCCTTTGACGTATCCATATGTCAAGTTTGAGTTGAATGTGTTGTACCGTTGGGGAGATAATGAACGGACACTAAAAATTTCATATTATTTTCAAAGTAAAAGGGGCATAACTCTGCCAAAAATCATCGAACCATGACCAAATTCGAACTTTACCTGTATTTTCTGATGACATATCCATATGTCAAGTTTGAGTTGAATGTGTTTTACAGTTGGGGAGATAATGAACAGAAACTGAAAATTTCATATTATTTTCAAAGTAAAAGGGGCATAACTCTGCCAAAAATCATCGAACCATGACCAAATTCGAACTTGACCTGTATTTTCTCAAGACATATCCATATGTCAAGTTTGAGTTGAATGTGTGCAACCGTTTCTTAGATAATGAACGGAAACTGATGATGACGGAATGACAGAATGACGGAAGGACGGACGGACGGAATGACGGAACAGGGTAACACTATATATATGCCCCGGCCATTACATGGCGGGGGCATAAAAATAATTTTCCTACCTACCTACCCAACCCTAATATTAATGGGTTGGGAAGGGGAAACCAATTTTATTTTTGGCCATATCTCAAATTTATCCCAGCAGGCAACGTTGAAACAACGTTGAAATATGGTCGTGACGTTGTTCAACCAATATTCAACTATATATATATGGACGACCATACGGATATATTGCCAATATATATACAACGTTGATTCAACGTTGTTTATGGTCGAAGTTTTACATTTAGTTTAATCATTATATAAACTTTTATACCACTAATTTTGTGATATTATTCCTTTATTGAATTAGTCTGTAAGTGATTTTTGTCAGGAAAATTTGCGTTACAATCTTTTTCCGTATATTCAAAAATAGCGCTTAAACAAATAAAGTTGGAAATAATTTTTCACTTTCTATTAACGCTTTAAATATTAGTTAATATGTTTTGTTGTTTGTTTTTTTATTTTTTAGTTCTTTATGAATAATATTAATTAATAAATTGGTATTAGTCAAAACCCCGTTTATAAAATAACGCTGGTCAGGGGAAGTAATTGTTGCGGTCTATGATTTTGTTTGTTGTCTATGATTATCGTTCGTGCAAATGGTGGCGCAGTTTGGAAAGTTTGAAAACAACACGATTGGCAATTTATTTGGATTTCGAAGGTATTACCGTTATGTTTTACTTTAGTTTACTGATTATTTTCTAAAATATTATCATTTATTCTTTAAATTCTACTTTAATTTACTTTATGAAATAAATGAGAGATATAAACACATGATTGAGTTGATTTAACACGTTTTCGCGACCTAATTGAATGATTTGGGTTCAGTAGGCCTAGTAAGCATGAAGTTATTGATGTCCTTGGCAATTTATGATTTTACAAATCTTGTCTTTCTTTAATTTATTTTTCATATTATTAAACATTTGTCTGTACTATATCCTATTTAGAATTTAATCAATTTTAAAATTGAAACCAATAAAGTAGTTTGGCCCACTTAATTTACGTCCCAAGACGATTCGTCAATATATATAACTATGTTTATATTTTATTGATAGTATAATACAGTGTTAATTAGTTTGATAAAAACACATTATAATGATTATTATTAAGTTAAATAACAAATTTGAGTGTTAAACTTTAAAGTTTAATAGTCGTAAATTTAAGGGGAATAATAAATCTATTTCTATTTAATTAGATATTATTTTATATTCTAGATCCTGGTCCTGGCTGAAATTTAGAGTATTGCAGCTGTAGCCTGTACACCATACATTCAACATGAAAAGGACTGTCAGGTTTGTTAAATTGAAATTTATTCTTATTAATTTATATATTTGAATTTCTTTACAATACAAAGTATAAATTTTTCAACTACTGGATATTTATCTTATCTTAAAATATATTTTTTTCGGAATATTCCTGTAACATTATTAATATAAAATTTATATGTTTGTTGATTTCAGGATGCTGCATAAAATGGTCTTAGCTAGAGCCTAGAATGTTAATTTCTTGGGTCCATATGCTGCAAGGAACTGACGGGGAGCAGTTTTTCTTACCAATCATAGGTGAGACTTTTAAATAGCTTCTTTTTAAAAAGATTTTGTTGTCTTATATACATTATTTGCTGTCAATATCAAACTTAGCTATGTTTCAATTTCTATGCTGTTTTATGATGTAAATCTTAGAGAAAAGCATTTTAAGATAAAAACAAATCACTAAGTTGAGTAATTATATGTATAATTTGAGATTGACCAAGTCACTTTTAACTACAAACTTCTTATTTTTATTTGTAGAAGCAGTAAGAGACAGCCAAAGAAGTACTCAAACACTTGACATACCCAGAAAGACCTAGAAGAAAAGATTGGAACAGATTGTAACTTAATTGTTAAAAGTATTAAAGTGAATTTAAGCTGCACTTGAACTGTATTTTTGAAATAAAATATAAGAAGTTTTTAATATTGTCTTGATATTTTGTTAAACTTGGTTACTTTGCTTTATATCCAAAAATTAAAGTATGGTGGGTTTTCAACGTTGAAATGACATTGAAACCTCAACGTTGTGCCAACGTTGAAGCTGCAACGTTGTATCAACATTGAAATTTCAACGTTGTTTCAACTTTCAAATCCGAATATAAATCCAACCTTATTTCAACGTTGAAATCTGACCATAATTCAACGTTGAAACAACGTTGATGTGCCTGCTGGGATAGGACTAGTGCAGTATGTAGCCTGAAACTTTACTTCATTGTAATGTTTGAGTCCTTTGATTCCGTAATTACGATTTGTCTCATGTGCAAAATTTGTCCTGCATTATAAAAAACCATACATGTCTATGATATGTGACTTAGAAAGTTAGACATTTAAATAACCTAGCTAGACATGTATATATAATAAATGAATCAAGCTGCAACTTGTTTATAAGGGAAATATTAATCAGTATTATTCATAATCAATATTGCATATAAAGACAATGGTCAGCCTTTAAGTGCAACTTATAATTCTAAAACATAAGCTCCTAATACAAAATCCCCAACACTGCTCAATCATGAATGGCAAGTTTTTTTTTCAATTTCATCAGTTTTTGTGCAAGGCAGTTAAATTTAAGAACTGCTCCCTCTATAATTTGCAACATGAGACTCTCAATAACCAGTAAAACAACAATATGTAATTCAATAAAGATGTAAGGATAAAATTTTAATCACCTGTCCCAATTACCGGATTATTGACAATTGTTGTTTTGACAGGTGTCAGACATATTGGATTGTTTTCTTTCTGCGCAAGCGTAGCGTGTCGGATCACCGCTGGCAACGTTTGGCGGGAAATATTAGAAAGCACATGCAAATCACGTGACTAATATACTGTTCAAAATGTCGGACATAGGCGAAAACTCTCAAACAATGCCGGTTATAAACAAACGTCCACGCCTGTCTATTTTACAGCAAAATGAAGGATCAGGAGATGATACGGTACTAACAAATGATTAAGCTTCCTGATGATATACTCCATAATATTATTTGTATTTTATAAACTCTATAAAACTTAGAAAATGATTTTTTATGGATTCGTACTCGAACTAATTAGGTCCAAATTATTTAACACACATTGATCCATAGTGATATCGTTTTACTAATGATTACTTTGAACCCTTTATTCAGGACGACGTTTCTAGTACAGTGAGCACACTACAAGATGACACTCAGTCTGATTCATCAAATTTACCAGGTTCTAAACAAACGGGAAAGAATAAGAAAGGAAAACAAAAACTTAAATTTAAATGTTCAAACTGGCTTAAGGTATTAATTTATCCATTTTTAAACATATAATTAAAAGCTTTAAATTGGTTAATAATTAATAGCTTTAGATTGGTTTATAATTAATAGCTTTAAATTGGTTAAAGTGGCAACTTTTATAGAAATTAATAAATAATCTAAATAAAAATACATCTTATTAAGATGAATTTTTATTTAGATTATTTATTAATTTCTATAAAAGTCTTAATGTTTGTTGACATTTTTTTTTTCATTTGATTTAATTACAAAATGTATGTTGAAGCTAGTAATGGTATATTAAAAATAATGAAAAATTTACATGACAATAAGATTATTTCATTCAGGAGGATCACAAAAAGCCAATATTTGGAGTATTGTTCAACACATTTCATGGAGAAAAAGATCCTCTTCTTTTTATTACAGTAGGACATAACAGAGTAAGTAAATGTAATTTTCTGTCATGTTGAGGCAAATGAAATTGTAAGTAATACATGTTACAATAGAGATTGAAAACATTATCATTAGTTAAAATTATTTCAAGTTTTTTTGTAGTTATTTTAAGTAATATTTTATTAAAGATCAGCCCTTTAGTAGTTCAAAACACATTAGGTGTAACATCTTATTTGTGTCATTGTGCCCACTTCTGTTACTCATTGATATATTAATTAATACATGTTTTATTGTAGGTGACATTGTATGAAAGTAAGCCAGAGGGACATATCAAACTACTTCAGGCATATGCAGATCCTTCTGTATCCTTACCAATACTATCTCAGGGTTCTCGGGGACGCTTATTTCGGCGTCCCGGTACGCATGTTTATTACAGCTGGACGCAAATATTTCAGAGCAAGGATTCCACGTACGCTTAATTTTGCCTGGGGACGCATAAACATTACCGATTGTTTACAACCAGAAACAATACACAAATGCGTCAGCGCGTGTCAGTCTATAGGTAGGCGGTCCTATGCACATCGACCCGTGAAGCGATTAGCCAATCAGCGATAACAATTACGATCTTTATCACGCAATAGTGATCAGACTAATGTATACACGCGCTGTACAGTACATGTAATTACCAGATATAACACGAGGTGATAATTTTATATCTTTGATCAACATGCAGTTGATTGGAAATTAGCAAATTTTACCGACAAAAGGATAAAATTATCGACTAATTACGCCGCAAGTTTAAAGACTGTTTCTCAAATGACAAATGAGTGTAATTTTGAATGATTGTCGAATATTTTCGGCATTTTCTATGCACAATTTTGCTTTAGTTTCATTCTTGCAAAAACTTTCGATAAGGCTATTTAGAATTTAAGATATTGTGCCGAAATGCCAGGACAACAAACCAAAATACACATTACGCTTTTCTTTGATATTTAGATTCTATCCGAAAATTGATCCCGTACATCGGCGATTTCATCGCAAAAATTCTCGGTTTCCAAGCCAAACATGCGAACGAATTGTTCCTTTATTATTTAATCAACATTAAATCTTTAAATATCGATCTTCAATTTGCCCCCTTTTGAAGATATTTGCTAAAATAATTGTCGATCGGATGAATCTCTTACACACTGTTTGAAGCTGTACACGATTTTCCTATTCATTCCGCTAAACACTGCCTATATACATTTACGTTTTTTTTACAAATATAAACTTTTTGTCTTTAGAGTGGACTTATTTAACCAGAATGAAATTTAATTTGGTATAAAAGTGGAAAAAAAAACAAACAAAAACGATTTCCATGTGTTGATGCATTATAATGAAATAATTTCATAATAAATATCAACAACAAAACAACAAAACAATAATTATACTATGTAGTTCAGAGTTTCTTTTGAATAACTATAAACTTTGGAAGTCTCTTGAAGATTCAAAATATCAGCAATTGAATGACTAATCTGTAAACATATTAATTGCGACGCGCTTTTGGACTCCAACTTTTTCAGGGTTGGGAGTCCATGGACTCCATGTTTAAAAGTCCTAGTGAGAACCCTGTATCTCACACAATTACATTTTTTAGCTCACCTGACCACGAAGTGGTCAAGGTGAGGTAAAGTGATGGGGCTATGTCCGGCGTCCGGCGTCGTGCGTCGTCAACAATTGGGTTGTTAACAGTCTAGTAGTCACAGTTTTGATTGGATCATCATCAAACTTTGTCAGAATGTTTGTCTCAATGAAATACAGATCGAGTTCGAAGATGGGTTATCTCAAGTCAAAAACTAGGTCACAGGAGCTAAAAATAGAAAAAGCTTGTTAACACTCTAGAGGCTGCAGTTTTCATCCAAATATTCTGGAAATTTGTCAGGAAGGTTGTTTTAATGATATCTAGGTCAAGTGTGAAGATGGGTCATCTCCGGTCAAAAACTAGGTCACAGGAGCTAAAAATAGAAAAAGCTTGTTAACACTCTAACAATTGGGTTGTTAACAGTCTAGCAGTCACAGTTTTGATTGGATCATCATCAAACTTTGTCAGAATGTTTGTCTCAATAAATTACAGATCAAGTTCGAAGATGGGTTATCTCGGGTCAAAAACTAGGTCACAGGAGCTAAATATAGGAAAAGCTTGTTAACACTCTAGAGGCTGCAGTTTTCATCCAAATATTCTGGAAATTTGTCAGGAAGGTTGTTTTAATGATATCTAGGTCAAGTTCGAAGATGGGTCATCTCCGGTCAAAAACTAGGTCACAGGAGCTAAAAATAGAAAAAGCTTGTTAACACTCTAATGGTTGCAGTTTTCATCCAAACATTCTGGAAATTTGTCAGAAAGGTTTTTTTGATGATTTCTAGGTCAAGTTCGAAGATGGATCATCTCAGGTCAAAAACTAGGTCACAGGAGCTAAAAATAGAAAAAGCTTGTTAACACTCTAATGGCTGCAGTTTTCATCTAAATATTCTGGAAATTTGTCAAGAAGGTTGTTTTGATGATATCTAAGTCAAGTTGGAAGATGGGTCATCTCCGGTCAAAAACTAGGTCACAGGAGCTAAAAATAGAAAAGCTTGTTAACACATTAGGGGCTGCAGTTTTCATCCAAATATTCTGGAAATTTATCAGGAAGGTTGTTTTGATGATTTCTAGGTCAAGTTCCAAGATGGGCTATCTCCGGTCAAAAACTAGGTCACAGGAGCTAAAATTAGAAAAAGCTTGTTAACACTCTAGTGGCTGCAGTATTGATTCAAATATTCTGGAAATTTGTCAGGAAGGTTGTTTTGATGATTTCTGGGTCAAGTTCGAAGATGGGTCATCTCAGGTCAAAAACTAGGTCACAGGAGCTAAAATTAGAAAAAAGCTTGTTTACACTCTAGTGGCTGCAGTTTTGATTCAAATATTCTGGAAATTTGTCAAGAATGTTGTTTTGATGTTTTCTGGGTCAAGTGCTAAGATTGGTCATGTCCGGTCAAAAACTAGGTCACAGGAGCTAAAAATAGAAAAATCTTTTTAACACTCTAGTGGCTGCAGTTTTGATCCAAATTTCCTGGAAATTGGTCAGGAAGGTTGTTTTGATGATTTCTAGGTCAAAAATTAGGTCACATTGCCCAAATATGGAAAAATCTTTATAACACACTAGAGGTCACATGTTTGACTCAGTTGTCATCAAACTTGGTCATGATGCTTGTTTAAGACATTGCTTGGATGTGGTTGTGTCAGGTGAGCGATCCAGGGCCATCATGGCCCTCTTGTTTATGATAATTGATCAATTAAATAAAAAATATAAATTATTTTACAGATTATTTTAATAAATCTCACAACTACATGTTGAGGTTTTTTCATTGTGAAATACCGTATAATATGATTATCAATTACCTAATGCATTCTGTCAGCAGACTATTTTGTGAAATGAAAATATTAGCTGAGGTATCTTTGCTTAGTTTTAGATCATATATGTTGAAATCCCTGACCATACATATTTATCTTATATGTACAAAATTTTGTGCAGAGAACGAGTGGATAGGAATTGTTGTTATAGTTCTAGTGAAATTGATGAATATATTAACCTTTTAAATGCAACCTAAAATGTGATGGATGGTAACTGTAGGTGTTATTAATAAAATTTAAAACAGAAGCAAAAAACCTTGACTCTGAATTCAAGCAAGATGAGAATTATTACTGTGGTGCATGGACTTATGATGATGAAACTCAGCAACCTTTGATTTGTGTGGCAGGCTTGAGAGGAATTGTTAGAGTGATCAGCCCTATTGCACAACAATGTATTAAGGTAAAGAGTTTTATTAATACACTCTAGCTTGCTACATTTATATATGTTCATAGTGTTATAACTTTTAGTTTGATTTATATACCCTAGTACACGATTTAGTAAAAATAAAGTCAGGGTTTTCCCTTCAAAATATTTACTGGGTCAACATTTATTGAGGTTTCAACTTTAGTGATTCAAGGTCTATAGACTACAAGGGTCTGAGTTTAGATTTTTTGTCAGGTTTTGTATTGTGATTTGAATAAGAAAAACTAATGGTATTTATAAATGTCTGTATTTTTAGCATTTCATTGGTCATGGAGCTGCAGTGAATGA